GAAAAGAAGGAAGAGAGATGATGAAATAAAGCAAATCGAATATGCACCTGACTACAAAGAAAAATGAAAAGTTGCACAAAATTTAAAAGATGGAAGTGGGCTTTAGACAGAATACAGTGATAAGCTATCGATGTCTCACGTGGCTTAATCCACAATTGATGAATAGTTCACGAATCAAAGTAACCCAACCTTCACCCACGGCATTTACGGATGTTATATCATATAGCACATAGCCTCATGGTAAGCAATGCTATCATGGTAGTCACTCACACATATGCAAGGATGCAAAGCATAAAAGCTACCTAGTACTCCAACCAAAACAAAAGCTATGTTAGAAATCCATGCATGATCCTAACTATGCAGAAACCTAATGTAACACATGCAAAATGCAACAAGATAGGCTCGGCTATTCTAAGGGAATATGGAATGCTACAGCAAACGTATTCAACTTGGAATTGAATACAAATGCAGTTAGTATGATACGCGAGCCGGTGCATGCAAGACAGATGAATGAACGCAAACATGCTTATCCAACTGTATGCAATTGAAACATGCCCTATCTAAACATCATAAGCCTGCGTAAAATAAATGGAGAAAGACGTGGGGTTGGAAGACATACATAACACTCACGCACGCTTATTATAATTGTGCCTCGTCGGAGGTCCAAATAAATAATACAGTCTGAAATGAATAACGAATTACAGCTAATTATTACACATCTCACTACTAACTAACAAATTAGCTGGTAATAAACTAGCATGCAAATGGACTGCCTCGGCTCTGTTTGGATGAACAATGAATGAAGCATGCTCGATGCGCTTTGGTCGGTAATTCCATCGCGATGCCTTGTCCCACCATTGTTTGCAGCTGATTTCTGAAACTTACACAAAGCTCCAGGAGGCTGAAACTGCACCTGGGAAGGCTGCCGACCAGCTCTTGGCTTGGGAACACCTGCAGACCACCCTCATGGTGAAAACCAAAAAAGGTGGTCGGCCTACCAGAAAACCTGGTCGGCCGACCATTCTTGCCCTGGACTCTGGTTTTTCTGCAACAAAGGCAAGAAAGAGAGAAAGCAACTGTATTGTCAACATATGTGTGCGCGACCACTTTTCCCCGTCCTTGCACAAGCTCTAGGGAGTGTGGCCCTCAGTTCTCGAGCCACCAATCACGCATCTCGATGCATGTTGGCCGAGAGACCGAATTGCACGTTTTAATATGACATGAATGCGGGTATGAACATATGAAGCCAACAACTCTATCATAGATAATCAAGAACGTCGGGGATCGAGAATCGAGGCACGTTTCGTCACTTGGAGTACGAAGCGCCCCTCGTTTCCCGTGCTTGGACTAAACCCTATTCCAAGCACCATGCAAATGGAATGGCATGGTCAATGCGACTAACATGCAACCTAGCATACGCAATGCTCTGTATTAAAATGGCATACACAATGCGCGTGATGTAACATGGCATACACAATGCTCTAAGATGCAACCTAGCATACGCAATGCTATGGATTGAAATGGCATACACAATGCACGATGGACTTACACCAATATGAGTGGACCTTAGCCACACTCACATCAATGGCCATTAGATGAAAATGAGACAACCGAAATGCGTGCACACATGCACGCAAACCGAGGACCGAACCTAAGGCAAAAAAATACCACTCTACCAAAGCATGGCAAGGATGAAGCATGGCATTCAAGCATGTAATTTTCAGCACTGAAACATAATGCTAAATGGTCCCAAAACATGTAAATATGGCACCCGATGCATGGAATAAGCCCCGAAACTCAAAACTAGTCCGATGCATTGAACCACAAGTATACAAAGCAAGCATTATTTGATCATGAAGTCTAAAGACAGAGCCAAGGCAGTCCCAAAACATGCACATTTCTAGTTTAAAGGATGGCCGAAAGATGCTAACATGATGGACTAAAATAGCATGCTACATTGGCTAGTAAGTATGGGTTGCATTACAACTATATGATGCGCATGAGATCTCATCAAACCAGCCAAAAATAGTGAACAAAACATGCCAAAATATGCCCAAATAATCATTGAAATACATCCAACGCATGCAAAAATGAGGGGCTTCTTTGGAGGGCATGCAAGGGGTTGTAAAGCACATACAAGATAGACATGAAGCATAGCAAAACCACCTCTTGAAATGGACTATGATAGCCCTAAAACTCACAAAATTGGCCCTGAAATGGGTCTAGGAAACATGCAAAGAAAGGCCCCTTTGAAAGGCTTTGGATGGGATTGCTCTGCACATGCATTGTAGACATAAAACATGGCCAAAAGGGCCTTGGAAAGAGCCAAGGCAGAACCCAAAACTCACAGAATGAGGCCTGAAACATGACTTCGAAGCATGAAAAATAGGGTCCCTTTGGAAGGCCCAAAAGACCACCAAACAAGACAAGGAGAGAGGGGGTCCACCCCCTCTAATTTTGGCCCTCAAAAATACATCTAAGCTACTAAAAATCCACTGGATTTCAGTGGTTAAGAGGCCAAACCATGGCCAATGCAAGTGCTCTAATGCATGGCCCTAATTATGAAGGAATGAAGCACGCATAGGGGAGGATGACCCCAAACAGAAAAATTCCCTTAATAAAACTTGAAGAGTGGCTCAAAATAAGAACTTTTTCAGTTTAGGAAAACTCTCAAAAATGTTCACAAGTAGATCGAAAATATGATGCAAAAATAGCCCTAAAAGAGAGATAGAGGGTAAGGGGAAGTAGATGACCTCAAATAGCAAAATGTCCTGAAACAAAGTTGAAGAGGGGCTCAAAATAAGAACTTTACCAGTTTATGTCGAAGCCCAGAAACACTTTCAAGTAGGGCTAATCAATGGAGCAAAAAAATGCAAGTTTAAGGGAAATAGGCACTTACCCTTGAGGAGCAGCAAAGCTGGAGCTTTTGGACCATGGTGGTGAACCTTCAACCCATGAAATTCAGTGCCAAAGTGCTGAAATGGATGGAGGAGGTGTGGTGCTAAGGGTTGTCGTGCAAATGGTCCAAGAAAACTAGAGTTTGGAAGCTCAAGTGTAGAGATATAGAGAGAGAGAGAGAGTTGAGAATTCTAGAGAGAGAGGAAATTTTTTTTAGTGAGAGAAGCTCTCAAAATGTTCTAAGTCTCCTAAGTTCTCTCCCTCTTTCCTAAATATGCTCTAACCCTCTAATATGAAGAGAATAGCTTCCTCAACAAGCTTGGGTCGAAAAATATCTGATCTGGACAGCTGGAGATTGTGAAAGACAGCTGGAGGGAAAATATCTATCAATTTTGAGCTTTTTGGGCATAAGTGGTCGGCCGGCCACTTTTTATGGTCGGCCAGCCACCTTTCCTGGTTGGCCAACCACTTTTTAGGAGAGGGTGGTCTGCCAGCCACCTTTTCTGGTCGGCCTGCTACTTTTCTGGTTTTTTAGGACAAAAAAAGGTCTTTCGGAAAGAAAGATGGCCGGCCAGTGATTGGGAAGTCCAAAAGTGGTTGGCTAGGTATCCAAATTGAAGCCCCGGAAGTTAGATTTCCAATGGCACAAACCTTGCATTAAAATTCCATCTGTGCAAAAAGTTATGCCTTTTTTGGTGAAGCTGCGCAGATTCGGTCCAAACAGGTTGATGCCCTACTTCAACCAACCATATCTCCTCCATCCGGACTTGGATTTAGGAGATTCTTGAGTGCAAAATGAAACCCA